GGAAAGAGAGGGGCTGAATTATTCCTTTTTTGCTGCAAAGAGAGATGGTTTATGACATGTGAGCTTTATTTACTTCTGCTCTGCAGTGTTGTCTCCTCCTGCCTGGCGTGAAGCAGACTACTTAACTGCTATAAACTCCAGGAGCATCTCAGGACCACCAGAGAAGGATGAGAGTCAAGTTTTCCTAGGCATTACAAACACTTGCAGCTAAATTATCTTTATTTCAAAGAACTAGGCCAAGATCCAATAAATGGATTTGTGAACAGATGGGAAAAGCGTAGTGCAGCTGTTAGATCAGCTTCGTAGACAACTGTTGTAGCACACACCATCTGCGTGGCTGTTGTCTCACGTATGGGCGTTGGATAAAGGTGGGCTTCAAGGGGATGTCAGGAAGGGGCCTTTTGTTGTGGTAATGTTTCTACATATTGTACAGGCTCTGGGTAAAGTGTTTTGAAGAAAAAAAAACAAAACCGATGATAAAGATTGGAGTTGTTGCAGTATGGAAGCAGAGATCAATGATAATCTAGAGATAGTAGAGCAAAGCCATAGAAATCTACACTTAAAAATACTGCTTGTGTGAAGAAGACACTCCTGTGGTATAATGATAATAATATCTCTTATTCTTTGTTTTCCCCAGTAAATTTGAATAGGGGAAGGATTTGCAATAGTCAAGGTACACACTAATGTTTACTTTTACACTGCAGCTTGGATGCTGGGTTCAACAGAGATAAAGCTGAGGTTATGCAGTGAACAATGCTGTTTTGTGGTCTCTCAGATGGTGCTGGAAGTAAAGACATGGGAGGATAGACAGGGATTTCAATTTGGCATGTTTTCAGTTCGAATTTAATAGCTGGAGAAACTTAGAGGCAGGAATATCAGGTGGAGCTACAGCGTGTTTCTGGTGTGTCCAAATGCAGATGTTATTGCAAGGCAGTGTCTCTAACTGGTGGTTGTGAAACTGGTGCAATGCCGGTGTCTTTTAAGATCCAGCAGAGGTTTTGGTTGGGTTTTTTTTCCTTCTTTTTTTCCCCAGTACTTCTGACATGAGGAAATGGGGTTGGATGAGGAAAAAACAGCTTTTCCTCCATCATTTCTGCTGTCCCAAGTGTTGAGGCTGGGTAATTTGGTGTCTTTTCAAATGATTTTTCTCTGGATATAATTCGTTTACTTATTACTATAACTTCTTCTTGTACAACTCTTACTTGTAAGAGTAAGAGAAAGCAAGCCTTTTCTGTGAAGAGATGAAATATCTCTGAAATTCCTCTCCTTCCACAGCAGTAGATCTGGTTGGGCAAGTGAAACTTTAAAGGAATAGCCAGACAACCGGGAGGAGCTCAAGGTGTGGCTCAGCTTATTTAAGCTGAGGAAGGGACATGTTTCAAGATCAGCCCTGCTGATGATGCCAAAAGCAGCTGGCAGCTCCAGCAGCATAATGGCAGAGGCACCAGCTGGCTTCAAAAGAGATGACTTCGGTGGCATTTGTTTTTGGGGACTGTGTGTCGAGATCGGGAGCACGACGGAGATACTGGTGGCCAACTGGAGAGGGGAAATGTTTGAAGATACTTGGTTTCTAGATGTTGACTCAATGATTTTTAAGGTTGTAGCAGCATTTGTGCCTTTTGATCTCGTCTGTTGACGGTCATTCAGTCGTCTTTGGAGCGCGGCATCTTGTCGAATCAAGGCGTATTTTTCAGGAGCAAAGAGGGATTTAGCAGGTTTGCAAGCATCAGTGCTGCGGGTTGTGACTCAGACAGGAGAGGCTGCGGTGATACATTTTACCTGCTGCGGTTTCTCTTGTCATCCTTTCTCAGACCTCGATGGGCTTTTCAGGCTCTGCCCTTATCTCTGATCAGCAGCCAGGAAATCACTTTCCATATTTTTACATGTCTCACACAGAAGGGCAAAGCTAATCTCTT